GGGCCAGTCATAAGTGGTCAGGAGCTCCTCCAATCTGACGCCGTCATATACGACTTCTCTCCTTCCTCCATCATGGTGGCAGATCTTCTTTTCCAGCTTTCGGCTGAATCGCACTTTTGCTCGAAGGAGGCAGGATGGAGGAAGTAGGCAGGAGGATCTGAGCCACTACCGAAGGATGGTACCACTGAGACGTCCAGTAAGCACCACCTTCGGTTGGTGAGTCGATCTCCGCATGAGTCGTACCATTTGGTGAATCCTATGTCCACCGCCGATGTTCTTTCTTCATGAAAATGGAGCTGCCAGAAAAAAGCCGTGCGGCGGATAAAAGCCCAACAAGACGGTTACCATTCTCATTCCGGCGTCCTGATCCAAATCTCCCGATCCTGTGCTCCCTTTCTTTTGGTATCCCGATTTTCGCATTGAAGTCACCCACGACGATCTTATAGAAGGAGTTTTTGCGGATGACTTCCTCCAAATCCTCATAAAAAATATCAAGTTCCGAATTATCAGCTGCTGATGTTGGAGAATAGCAATTGATGATAGTGATGGCCTGATGCTGAGGACGGAGTCGACAGCCAGGCGAGGTGATAGGATCTCATGAGAATCGACAAAATGGACAACAGATGGGTGTACGACGGACGCGTCCAACGTTCCACGATGGAACTTTCTCACCACGAATGATAAGAGAGCCATCACTCAGCTGCCTCATGTCCGTCTTCCTGGACTATGTTTCATGCAAGGCGATTGCGTGATAGTTGATGCGCCTTGCAGCTTTGAGAGTTGCGTATCGGTGTTGGTGGAAACTGTTGTAGGTGCAGGGCATGAGATAATCTCCATGGCGAGTCGGACGTGTCCTTTTGGTCCAAAATCCATGGCGTCCTGTGCAACCTCACTGGTCTTGATGACGTCCGACGCCGTAGATGTGATCCAGTGTGCACTTCTTTTTCTCTTACATGCTATAGGGACAATGAGTAAACGAATTCCCCCAAAAATGAGCAGTGCCTTACCAGGGCCCTGCCAAACTTTCACCATAGGCAATTGCTGACCTTATGTGGATCAGGGAGCCACCCAGCGACTGAATCATCCAGGCGGTGGCGCTTCTGGCATGGCCTACTCTTAGGAGCATCCGGGGAACCGGAAAATTATCATGATGCAAAGAGGCTATTTAAACAAAATCTCATCATATGGTTCATATCTTTTAGCTTGGCAAAAGTAACTCCGCTTCTGAACAAGGACGCTTGCAAAAAATGTCTCTAAAAATCTTAGAAAACTGTTGCATTCTGGGCAAATGAACAATTTTATTATTTTTTCTGGACATTTCGCTGGAGCAGTGTATGGAAATTACACATTGTGGGCGCAGAGGTTGTAGATAAATGCTCATATGGAAATACCAGCTAATGATTGAGTTAAAATTTGCGTCGTCATTTTTGAAGACGAAACTTTGCAAGAAAAACTCTTTTTTCAGATTTTATGCATCAGCAGTAAGTGGGGATTTTAGTGATTATGATTTTTCTTTTTTAGACAAGGAAACCTGTGATCCAATGGAAATAGATGTGATTCTACCTCCATCTCCTACAAAATTACCAGCAATTCGCGTTACCGCTGGTCCTGCAAGCACTTATAGAAGTACTACTTCCATGTCGAGCAGTACCACTTCTACCACCACCACAACCACTACTACCAGCACTACGACTACTACGTCGACTACAGCCGAACCAACTTCTTCGCCAAAGTTGACCACATCGCGAAAGTCGATTGTGGCTAGACCATATCTTCCTACGTTTACCTATAGTAAGGGTAACAACAGGTAAGGGAGAATTTTGTCCTTATATGACCTATGTATAGTGGCTATGTTCAGATGTCGCATCACGTATCCACGAAAGAAAACTAATGGTTCGAAAATGCGTCCCGTACTTGTATGTGATTCAACTGCCCATCCCACTATTGTTTCTTGTTTATTATTTTGTTCTTTCTTGTTTCACATGCTTTAAATACAAATTTCTTGAAATAAAATCAAACCAATGCCCTAAGAATTCGTCCCCTTACAGTTGCCATTGCTGTGCAGCCGAGAGTGGTTCCACATAAATCGCGTATAGGCTGGTTTTTCGCTGCCACACCTTTCATTGTCTTGGAAACAACTAAAGCGAAGGGACATTTCGTGCATTCTTCTTCTAATTTTTATCAGAATGAAATACCAAATATAATGCAAGCAGACACTGTGTCGTTAGCATGTGGAACTGTTTAAGGCATTAATACAAAAACACTCATATTACGACCACACCTAAACGTGCACTTTGCAAATTAGCTAATAAAGGTATTTCTTCATGACCTTCAGAAAGGCAGTAGTATAGGAGAAAACTTTGTTTACTGGAGGTCGTGTTTAGGTGATAATATCAATTCTAATGTTCCACATAAAATGGAACGGGACGCAAAATTGTTACCGAGGGGTGTTCAAGTTGTGTGATATAGCGAATAATGAGACTGAGGAATGCACTGGAATGAGAAGGCGAAATGCGCTAGATTACGAAATCAGAAAAGAAATGAGCGTTTGATTTTTAACACACATCGAAATCTGATGCGTTAGTAGTCGTTAATTAATTATCACTAACCCTATAGAATCCTAAAAAAGTGGCATATTTGCAAAAAAATAGATTTGCCCTGATTGTCTATTATCGTTTCATCCATCATTTTCCAGAATCAGACCTCGGCGGCAGGTCTCCGGAGCGCAAGCTGGAATACGTTTTTGCGAAAAAAGAAAAGAGGAAATCGTATAGAGTCGGAGAGAAGCCTGGAGTTTAAACTCAACTGTTTTTTCCACAGCAAGAATGTAGAGGCCCCCTCCC